TCCCTAGCCACTATGAGAAACAATGTGACATCATGGTCTTTATCATGACTTGATGTGTTTTTATATTTAACCGGTGTAAGATCGATGGTTAACAATTTCAGCTCATAAAAACTGCAGTGTGCTAGACGGTGGCTGGACGAAGGGAATAAAAGTCACCTCGTAAACCTCGGAAAATATGTGTCAGCAATGTTGGCAGCAGGGGCAAAAGTGGCATATGAAAGAGAGACAAGCTTGGGATGGCTTTGCCTAGTTGTTGTCATTTCAAGTTCTGCAACAGTGTACCAACTGTATTGGGACTTTGTGAAGGATTGGGGTTTGCTCCAACCTCATTCCAACAACCTTTGGTTAAGGAATGAACTTATGCTACCCAAAAAGTTCATTTACTACTTCTCCATGGTATATTATTTGTTATGTCATCAACTCATCATACTTCTATTTTGGTTAGGACTTAGGATCACAACCTGGCCCTAGCTAGTGAGGCTACCCAAACCATCAAGCGGCTAACTGGCTAAGGGCCATGGACCTGCCACTTAGGGGAGTGGTCAAGGCTCACTCTCACAAGATCATCATTTAGTTAGTAACCAAATATATCGGGTTGACAATAATTTAAGATCATTTGGTTCAAAGACAAACTAAAATTGGGCTTGGTTTAGTTTAACCGTCAAACTACAATCACTTCCGATATTGCAGTTTGACATTTTAGTTGTAAAAAGGTCATTTCTATCTTCGTCCTGGCTTTTACTAATGTTAATTTTGGTGCATGCTGTGTAACTATTGCCACTTTTGGTTATTTTGATCATTTATCCGACTAATTTGTAATGTATTTTGATAAGCGATCAGAATTATTAATTCATACACCACAAGTTAAAGGGATGAATATTGGAGATCAAAAATAGGAAAAACTAATGGTTAAAATGTAGCACTGAGACTGGATCCAACCGCATTTATATGTTGCTTATTGTAAAATTGTTGCTTTCAAATAACAAAAAGTATCAATAACAAATAAATATTTCAATTTCATTTTGCAGGGATTAAATCTTATTCTAAGGTTGGCATGGTTGCAAACGGTATTACATTACAAATTTGGGAGTGTAGATTATAGGGTAACAGGGCTATTTTTAGCTGCCCTAGAAGTCATCAGGAGAGGGCATTGGAATTTCTATAGGTATCAAAGAGCTATAATTTCTTGATAACTACTTGTCTTTAGTTTCCCTTTATTTGAATTCTCTTAACCTACAGCATATGTCTTTTTTCTTTGGGAATGGAATAGGCTGGAAAATGAGCATCTAAACAATGCTGGCAAGTTCAGAGCAATCAAGACAGTCCCACTTCCTTTTCATAATATAGATGAAGAAGAATGATCCCTTGAGTGTGAAGGTCTACCGGAAAGTTCAAGAAATCCATGATGGATGATTTCAATAGTATTTAGAATTGAGGGTATCTTTTTCCTTCTTTAAATGGAGGAGGTGGTGGTGGAGTGGTGGTTTTGTTATTGAACAAGTTGTAGGAGAAAGATGTTTCAACTTGCCCTAATTTTGCCTTATTAAGATTATAGTGAAGTATTCACATCTTTGTATATAGATCATTCTTCCTCATGATATGTTGAATAAAATTCAACTATAAGTTATCTCAATCTTGATTTGTGGTTTTGTTTGGTAATTCACTAATAAGACAAGCTGATAAATTTTTGAATTGATTAATGTTTATTACATTCTAATATAATTTGTTATAGTTTGTCTACATAGTGAGACTTCATAGCGACATAAAGGGTTTTCTTGACAATACTAAAGTGTGTGAATAGAAAAAACAATGAGCTACTTATGTTATAAAATAAAATAGAATTGCCTATGACCAAAAAAAGTTAAAGGTTAGTGCAAAGAATTCAATCCTGAAATTTCAAGTTCAGCAGGCCTATGTTAGTAAGCTTACTTGTAAAACTTAATAGTTATTGATATTCTACTCGGACATAAAGCTCCCCATTTAAGCTGCCCTTGTCGAAAAGTGAAGGCATGCCCGTTCACATTGGAGTTTGGCCCTGTAAATATATATATACACACACTAAAGGTTACAGATGAGAATAATTCCCATCAGTCAAATTCTAATTCTTCCAATAACTAAAGGTTTATATCAAGTCATTCACTTCTACAACTGCATCAGTTCCGGAAATGCACACATCTTCCTGAAATGGAATTGTCTTCCATACTTTCATTGATGTACTAACTTCACCTTTTTTGGTGCAAATGGCAGCATAATGAGAACCATCTAACTCAATAAGCGCAAACTGCCAATAACTCATTATTTTTTGAAGATGGTCTTGTTGATCCAATGCTATTTCAGGAGCCCTGTAATCAGAATTCAAAGAGAGAAGAGAGCTTCTTTCGGAAAAGCGCCTAAAACGAAGAGTAAACGTCTTGAAAGGGGATCCTGAGAACCCAACACCCAGTGCTTTGACATATGCCTCCTTCATGGTCCATAGCTTTATAAATTCCTGGCGTTGAGCTTCGGAATCCTTTATTGAACTTAAGAATTCAAATTCGGGCCCTGATAAGTATCTCCGAGCTAAGCTTAAAACATTGTTTTTCACCGCCCTCAGCTTTTCTTCTACATCAATACCGATCAGAGAACCTTCCGTTACACCACAAGCTACAAGAGAATTGGTATGTGACATATTGAAATGCAATGGGGGTGACTGCCAATGATCACTGTGTTTCCATTCTACTTCAGGCTTCCCGTAGTTGTTCTTTCTAAATTTCAGAAATCTTGGATCAACAGGAGAACTGATCTGATATCGGGCAATGGTTGTACGGACTACGGACCAATGCTCGAGAAAGCAGTGCAGTCTTCTGGTGCTCATCTCCAGCCATTCGAAGCACATTTTCCTTCTCAGTTGGTGACAAAATTTCCATGTATTGTTCTAACAGTGCCTCGCTCTTCACTTCATTGGGTTTTACATACCATAAATCTGTTTCATTTGGAGACGGGAGTTGAATGGGAGTCAAATGCGGTGAAGAAGTGAATAGTTTCCGAGAAAAGCTGGACTGCATCCTCATTTAGGATCAAACCCTTCCACGGTGAAAAGGCATGAAATCAAATCAAAATTGAACTTTTTCACCTTTCATTGAGGAAAAACTAACAAAGTCGGCCATTCGTCTCCCAGGTCCCACGTCGGCAAGACGGCAAGTCCGTAAATCCCAAGCGTCGGCTCAAGTGAGTGGCGACGACCGCAGGGCGCCGTCGATCGGACTTTATTGTCCCTGTAATTATAGACTTCTCATTTACCTCAAATTATATCATAACATAAAAAAACAAGAGAGTGTGCAGTTTTTCGAGTAGAGCTTAAAAAAACCAGAGCTTCTAGAGTTCTTAGATTATTTCAATCAAAAATGATCTTTGTACACACATTAGTACACATTCTATACACACATTAGTACACACTCTATACACACTATAAATACTCTCTAAAAATTACTCTCAAAAACTTACTTCCTTCCACCTCTTCTTTTACCTCTTCGCCCGCTTCTCTCCTTTCTCTCCCTCCCTTCTTCTGCACACATTTCCTCTTCTTTCTCCCCTCTCCCCCTCCCTTCTTCTAAGTCATTTCTCCAAGCCTCCCCTTTCTCCTTTTCTTCTTGTTAATTTCTATTCCCTTTCCTCCTCATTCTTCTTCTTTTATTTATTCTTGCGTCAGCGCAAGGCTCAGTCGTTTCACCAACACCAACGGTGTGGTTTTAGTTGGAATCAATGCGACAGTGAGGATGAGACGATCGATTCGCCGCTCCAACAAGAAGCTCCAATACCAGCCCTTAATATTGAGGTAATAATCTATTTCAATTTTTCTACTTGTATTTTAGGGTTTTATTTACTTAAAATTTCTGATTTTTGTATATTATGTATGGTATAACACTTAATTCTTGAGTACTTTGTATTATTGTAAGAAAAGGTAGTGTTAGTTATTGAAAGTTTAGTTCAATTTTTCTATTTCACATTTATGTTCATAACATGTTTGTTGAAATGACTTAATGATGTTTTTTTGTTTAAATCCAAAACTTTTACTCTCTGTTTTGTTAATTAGTTCAAGATTCTGATTTTCTTGTTTCCCAATTTAAATAATGATATAGTTATTTTCCAAATTCTTTCTTGGACTGTTTTTTTTTCTTTTTCAAACAACCCCTGTATTTTTTGTTTTTATTGAAATTGTGTGTTTTATTTATATTATATGGACTATTGTTGAACTAGTTTGCTTCATTGTTGGAACATATGGTCTTACACTATTCAAACAATCATTCATTGTCAAGTAAACTCACTCTATTGGCATTATGAGTCTTACTCAATTGTTAAAGTTCTTAAACTGTGAACTAGGAGATTAGCTCCACTGTATAGAGGGAAATGTGTTTGTGTCTTTGCGTAGGAATCTGTGTTTAAGAAAAGATACATAATTTTCATGCTCACTGCAGGGACAAATTGGGTGGGTGTGCTAAGAAAAGTGACAAGACAAATGAGCAGCACAGAAAACAAACCTCATGAAACTTATAGTGAAGAGCAAAGGGAGTTTCATGACCTGTTGTCAAGGTTCTAATGGAACAGATTACCTGCAGTTTCTACTATTTAGATTTATAACACAGATTGTGTTTTGTGGAATAGTTTTGATAATTGACATATGTAATTTAGTTATTGAATGATTGTACTTGTTTTAATCAAGGTTCCATAATGTATTATTAATTCAATCATGTTTTTCTTATGTTCCTTGTACACCTGTTGTCATATTATTATTTCAGTAAATTATATTGTTTGTGTATGAATATATTGTTTGGCCCTTGTATGAAAGACATTTGGGCGTGCAAATTATTGTGTCTGTGAGTAAATAATCTTGTTTGTGCAAGCACACCTATGTGTATGTGAGGAGATAATATTGTCTGTGAGGCCACATAGCATTGTCACATTTCAATGGCTATCGTCTATAAATATTGATAAATAACAAAAAAGATGAAACTTTTCATAAATAACAAAAAAGAGGAAATACATATTCATTAATCTTAAGTAACATTTGGGTAGTACATTCTAGGACACTTTCAATTTTACATTCTAAATACATTTACAAACTATATATAAGAACAACAGAACATTTTTACAAAGTGACTATTACAAGAACTTACATAATAGAGGTAAACAACATATATAAGTCTTATGTACTGATAAACTTGTACACCCAAGAGTATGTTTTTGTATTATTTTAGTAAATATTCCTAAAAGTAGCAAATGAGCTCCCTGCAAATCTCGAGATTACACCAACATGTCTAAACTTAGTTTTGGAATGGAACTTAGTATCAATGTTGTCTCCCTGCAACTCCAGCATCTTCTCCTACATTCAAATTGGGAAACAAGAAAATTAAAATCTTGAACTAATTATCAAAAAAAGATCAGTCACAAAAAAAGGATGACCAAACATTTAAGCATCATGAATATAACAACATTTCATTGCAACATTTTATCAAACACATTATGGACAAGAAAAAAGAATGACCTCTAGAACATTAAGTGTTATGATGAACACCATATGTTCCAACAATGAAGCAAAATAGTTCAACAATAGTTCATATAATATAAAAACGCACAATTTCAATAAAAACAAAATTACAGGGGTTGTTTGAAAAAGAAGAAAAACAGTCCAAGAAAGAATTTGGAAAATAACTATATCATTATTTAAATCGGGAAACAAGAAAATCAGAATCTTGAACTAATTAACAAAACAGAGAGTAAAAGTTTTGGATTTAAACAAAAAAACATCATTGAGTCATTTCAACAAACATGTTATGAGCATAAATGTGAAATAGAAAAATTGAACTAAAATTTCAATAACTAACACTACCTTTTCTTACAATAATACAAAGTACTCAAGAATTAAGTGTTATACCATACCTAATATACAAAAATCAGAAATTTTAAGTAAACAAAACCCTAAAATACAAGTAGAAAAATCGAAATAGATTATTACCTCAATATTAAGGCCTGGTATTAGAGCTTCTTGTTGGAGCAGCGAATCGACCGTCTCATCCTCACCGTCGCATTGATTCCAGTTGCAACCACGCCGTTGGTGTTGGTGAAACGACTGAGTGCTGGCACAAGAATAAATAAAAGAAGAATGAGGAGGAAAGGGAATGGAAATTAACAAGAAGAAAAGGAGAAAGGGGAGGCTGGGAGAAACCAGAGGTAGTCTCGAGGTAGTCAGTGACAGAAACCAATGTATTCTGATCATAACAGAATAGATCGAAAAAATCTGATTGCAACAGAAAGTCTCGAGGTATTCTGTTAGGATCAGAGAACCTCAGCAATGACATCAGAGAATGCCAGTGACAGAGAACCTCAGTGACAGAGAACCTCAGTAACAGAGAACATCGGCGATGACATCAGAGAACCTCAGTGACAGAAAACCTCAGTGATAACATCAGAGAACCTCAGTAACAGAGAACCTCAGTGATGACAACAGAAAACCTCAATGCTGACAACAGAAAAACTCTGAGTTAGACCAGAGAAGCTCAAACTGCAACAGAGGAGCTAAAGGTATTCTAAATACTTTCTTAAAGAGTCACGGGACTAAATAAACAAGTGGACTGCAGAATAATTCAGAATCAACCCATACTCCTATATACAAGTGGAACTACAGAATACTTCAGAGTCAACACATACTCCTATATACAAGTGGACTGAAAGATGTTTTGCTTTACAGAGTCAACCCATACGATCACATACAACTGGAAGCATGGACTCAAACAAGAAAACAAAACTAGCAACACAGGCTACTCAAAACAAGACAAAAGGAGGACATACTGAAGATAAAAGATCAAGTGGATGTTTCAACGATCAAGATTGAATCTCCTCACCCAACGGGAGATATTCAACAAACTCAAAGTCTATAAATAAATCAAGGAATGTGACGAAGAAGATTCAGCGAGCTTAAGTGCAATGCAAACAAAGCAATCATACTCAGAATATCCTGCAAAAGATAAAGTGTTAATTCATCACTTTACTCTTGGCTCGTTCACATTTCTTTAAGCTCTTAGACTAGTTCATAATGAAAGATTCATACTAGAGCTTAGAATAGTTGGTGAAAAGTTGTAACACCTTTGGAAAGAATTTGTGCTGCAAATCCAAAGAGTGGGTAGAATAGGACATGAGTAACATTTGAATCAGATTGATTCATTAGTGAAAAACCTAGAGGCAAGAATAACTTGGAGTGGTGTGTACTCCTAATGAAAACTTGATAGTTTATGCCTGTGATCAAGGGTAAACTAGTCACTAAGTGTATTGGTTAAATAGTTTAGTGGAAATCCATCTATAGAGTGGGACTGGATGTAGGAGGATTACACCACCTCCGAACCAGGATACATCTGTGAGTCATTACATTTAAAGCCACTAAACCATCAAACAAAAAGCCTTAGAAAATATCCAGAAAATAGTTCCTACTCAAAAGTCAATCCTTACCAAACTTCTAGTGTGTTTGTCCAAAAAGATAAAAACTTCCGCTGCCAATCCTAAACCTCTCAAAAGGTTCCAAGGATTATACTTATTCAGAGGGGAGTGAACACCTAATTCGAAAAGACTTAAAAGTCTATTCACCCCCCCCCCCCCCCCCCCTCTAGACTTTTATCAAGGACCATCAGACTGATTGGCAGTGGTAAACGTTATTGCATTTTTAGTGCTTGCTTTCTTATGTGAACCTACTCATGTGTAACACCCCCCTTACCTTCATTACTACAATCATGCATAAATTTAAACTTAGGATTACATGATTTAAGGAATGAGAGTTGTATGCAATGAAAGCATTTTTACAGTTCTTGACCAAAGTAGAAAAAATTCTTGTTGGGCATTTATCCTTTAGACATTGAATTGATCTGAAGAGGCCTAGATCTAGTATCTTCATATCTAGTCTATTTGGTGGTTGATTAACTACCAAATATTTTGTAGTATCTTCATATTGGACATCTATTATTTTGTCATACAGTGTATGGTCTCTTGAATGTATATTTTGTGATGTATTCCCAAATTTCAACAGTCGAATATTCTAACAATAATAGAAAGAATTTAAATAGTATAAGAGAAATTCAACATCAACATATACCGTGTATTCATAATGATGATTCGGTGAAGAACAATACACACAGTACTCGAACAGCTAGAGAGAGAATTTCTAATCTATGTGCTCTACCAGAATAATATGCAGAATAGATTGTGTAAAGATTTAGAATTCTAGAGAGAGAGCTTCGAGAATGATATGGCTATTCTAATTGTGAAACCCTCAAGTATGTTCGGTCCATTCCCCTTCTATTTATAGAGGGATGGCCGAACATCCTTGTTACATTAGGATGGGCTGAATGATCTCTGATTAAATGGCCTTGATTAATTACTTAGTCCACTAATTAAATCCTAATTAAACAAAGATAAATCTAATTAAATTGAACACAATAAAATATATTCTAACAATCTCCCCCTTTGTGTTCAATTTGCAATGAAACGCGGTTTATCATTGTCTTGATCTTCAGAGGATATCAGCTTCTTTTGTCTTTTTAGAAAGGCTTCATGAAGAACTCCTTGTAATATCCCCTTTATTGTCTTCTTGGTAATTTGATCTTTGATGTCGGGGGGTTTAAGGATCTTCAAAATCTTGGAATAGATTGTGTAGAGACTTAGAATTCTAGAGAGAGAGCTTCGAGAATGATATGACTATTCTAATTGTGAAACCCTCAAGTATGTTCGGTCCATTCCCCTTCTATTTATAGAGGGATGGCCGAATATCCTTGTTACATTAGGATGGGCCAAATGATCTCTAATTAAATGGCCTTAATTAATTAATTAGCCCACTATTGGGAATATTTTATGGTGTTCAATCTAGTTAGTTATCTTTGTATTTGTGTAGTTATTAATTAAACGTGTTATATGGGCCACAAATGTGTATCAGCCCGTGGGCTTCCTTGTAACCCGTAAGTTAGCAACCTTCTCCTATAAAAGGAGGCTAACTTACGGGAACCCTAACTGATTGAGAGAGGCTTAGAGACGCAGAGGCGAGATAGAGAGAGATTAGGGTTGCCACTGCTCTCCTTCTCCAGGGAGAGCAGCGGCCGGTTTTCATACGGTATACCAGATTCGCGTTTAATCTTCGACATATCTTTCTATCTGCCTCTTTATCATTGTTATGGTTGTATGATTGTTAGTATTCTGGGATTAACATTTGGTATCAGAGCCGAGGCGTGAAATAGGTTGGATCTATCTGCGATTTTTGGATCTAACGAAGAACTGCTCTGTTTTTTTCTTCTGTTTTTCTATATGTAGAGATTTGCTCCTGTAATCTCGTTTGTGATCGAAATTTTGTAAAAATCATACTGTTGGACTCGCCTTTCAAAACCGATCCAGCAGCATACCTCTTTTTTCGTTTTCTGCAATTTTTATATTTCGAAGATCTCTACATTGAGATCTCGAAATCCTTATTTTTCACTGCTGCAGAAACGTTTTTGACTTGAAACTGATACAGGAGAATCTCGACCTTCAGTGCTTTTCAGAACAGCTTTCAGATTTTCGAAAATCGAAGTTTTCATTTTGCAGGAACTCGACATTTAGGGACTCGATTTCCTCATCTCGACTTTTGAAATCTCGAGTTTTGACATCTCGAGTTTTGACATCTCGAGTTTTGACATCTCGAGTTTTGAAACCTCGAGTTTTGAAATCTCGAGTTTTGAAACCTCGAGTTTTGGAATTTCGAGTTTTGGGATTTCGACATTTGGAATCTCGGTGTTTTGGATCTCGACATTCTCAAGATTTCGAGATTTTCAAAATTTCTCGATGTTTTGAATTTTTCAATGTTTGGAGTTTCTTGAATCACTGATTTCTTCTAAACTTGATATCTTTCCTGTTCAGAACACTTCGAAGCTATACATTTTTAGATATCTGAATGAATCTCTGCCTATCAAAGTTTTTAGAAGTTTTCGATGTTCTGATGTTTTTCAACCAACAAGTTTTCGATTTTCTAATGTTTTCAAAACTCCAAAGTTTTCGATGTCCCAAACATTTTGAAATTCTGCAGATTTCGATATTCTGAAGTTTGTTTTGCCGGTGGATTTCACCATTATTCTTCGAGGCAAACTCGAGATTAAGATCTTGAGATTTAAACCTCGAGATTCATATTTCGAGGTATTGCCTTAGAATTTTGTTTAAAATCCACCTGCTCTCGATATTCAACATCGAGAACCTCAACTTCGAAGAAATTCCTCAAAAACTCAAAATTAGAGATTTTCTGCGACACCGCACTGTTTTGGCCATAACTTTTGACTCGGTGATCCAATTTAAGCAAACTTTTTTTTGTTAGAAAGCTAACGAAAAGTTCTTCATAAATTATTAGGGCTATTCAGAACATGTTTCAGATTTTCAAAAATCAATGTTTTCGTTTTGCAGGATCTCGACATTTAGGGGCTCGATTTCCTCTTCTCGACATCTTGATCTCGAGATTTGCATCTCGACATCTTGATCTCGAGATTTGAATCTCGACATCTTGATCTCGATATTTGCATCTCGACATCTTGATCTCGATATTTGAATCTCGAAATCTTGATTTCGAGATTTGCATCTCGACATCTTGATCTCGAGATTCGAATCTCGAAATCAAGATCTCGAGATTTGAATCTCGAAATCATGATCTCGAGATTTGAATCTCGAAATCAAGATCTCGAGATTTGAATCTCGAAATCAAGATCTCGAGATTCGTAATCTCGGGTTTTGGAATTTCGAGTTTAGGAATTTCGAGTTTTGGGATTTCGACATTTGGGATCTCGATGTTTTGGATCTCGACATTCTGAAGATTTCGAGATTTTCAAAATTTCTCGATGTTTTGAATCTTTCAAAGTTTGCAGTTTCTTGGAACTCATAATTCGAATCTTGACATCCTTTGCAGTTCATCGAAGATTTACCTTATAGGATCTCTGAATGATTCCCTGCTTATATATGTTTCAGGAGTTTTTGATGTTCTGATGTTTTTCAAATAGCAAGTTTTCGAGATTATGAGGTTTTCGAAACTCCAAAGTTTTCGATGTTCAAACATTTTGAAATTCTGCAGATTTCGATATTCTGAGGTTTGTTTTGTAGGTGGATTTCGCCATTATTCTTCGAGGCAACGATTAGGATTTCGAAGTATTGCCTTAGAATTTTGTTTAAAATCCACTTGCTCTCGACATTCATCATCGAGAACCTCAACTTCGAAGAAATTCCTCAAAAACTCAAAATTAGAGATTTTCTGCGACACCGCATTGTTTTGGCCATAACTTTTGACTCGGTGATCCGATTTGAGCAAACTTTTTTTTAGAAAGCTAACGAAATGATCTACATTAATTCTAGGGCTATGCCCCAGAACCCTTCCTCACGCGCCCTCACTCGCAGTCCTTGAGGGTCAAAATGTTAGTTTTCCGACAAATATTGTAAATCACCGATGTCCAGGTCAAAACTTAGGCAAATCTGTTCAAATTCTTTCAAAGTCAACCCTGAGGTCAAACATTTTCTAAACCTAACTGTAAAGGTCCGAAAGTCATAGATAATTCAATCAACCTCTCGTCAACGGTCATCTTACAACAATCAATAATCAACTGCTGAAGCCTCCCCTGACTCATCAACATTATGTGATCATCAATATGCTGAAATTCTACATGGTGAGCTCAGGGAAACCGTCATGTGTGGTACATGTTTAGATTGCTCCACACACATGGCGGGTATGACAAGCTGTGAGCAATCAAACCTTGCACATTCTGAGTGGGAGTTTAAGTTTTCTCCTCCTGGCGCCTTACACAGACAAAGCAAGGAATCTCTCAACGGATGCAACATTCTAGGGGGAGTGTTCAATGTTATCCTCTCCGGTGCCTAACAATGACAAAGCATACCGAGTGCTCCAGTTGAGGGGGAGTACAGAGAGAAAATGAAGAAAGTAATGAGAGAACATGTCCCTATGGCTTTGTAAACCCAACTAAGCCTACACAACTAAACCCAAAGAATATTCATTCTAGAGGCGTCACCGGACTTCATCCAAGCTGATCAAGAGCAACTTCTGGAAGGCAAGGACTACATGCAAGATACTGAAGGTCCCTCAACCCCCGGCATCAAAGATCAAATTGTCAAGAAGACATCAAAGGGGAGATTGCAAGGATTTCTTCAGATAGCCTTCCTCAGAAGTCAAGTTCAAAGACAAAGGAAGCTCAATAACAACAAAGACAAAGTGGTCTGCGCTGCAAAAAGGAATAAAGTATATTGACAATTTGAAGAAATCCTTGCAATCTCCCCTTTGATGTCTTCTTGACAATATGGTCTTTGATGAACACCATATGTTCCAACAATGAAGCAAAATAGTTCAACAATAGTTCATATAATATAAAAACGCACAATTTCAATAAAAACAAAATTACAGGGGTTGTTTGAAAAAGAAGAAAAACAGTCCAAGAAAGAATTTGGAAAATAACTATATCATTATTTAAATCGGGAAACAAGAAAATCAGAATCTTGAACTAATTAACAAAACAGAGAGTAAAAGTTTTGGATTTAAACAAAAAAACATCATTGAGTCATTTCAACAAACATGTTATGAGCATAAATGTGAAATAGAAAAATTGAACTAAAATTTCAATAACTAACACTACCTTTTCTTACAATAATACAAAGTACTCAAGAATTAAGTGTTATACCATACCTAATATACAAAAATCAGAAATTTTAAGTAAACAAAACCCTAAAATACAAGTAGAAAAATCGAAATAGATTATTACCTCAATATTAAGGCCTGGTATTAGAGCTTCTTGTTGGAGCAGCGAATCGACCGTCTCATCCTCACCGTCGCATTGATTCCAGTTGCAACCACGCCGTTGGTGTTGGTGAAACGACTGAGTGCTGGCACAAGAATAAATAAAAGAAGAATGAGGAGGAAAGGGAATGGAAATTAACAAGAAGAAAAGGAGAAAGGGGAGGCTGGGAGAAACCAGAGGTAGTCTCGAGGTAGTCAGTGACAGAAACCAATGTATTCTGATCATAACAGAATAGATCGAAAAAATCTGATTGCAACAGAAAGTCTCGAGGTATTCTGTTAGGATCAGAGAACCTCAGCAATGACATCAGAGAATGCCAGTGACAGAGAACCTCAGTGACAGAGAACCTCAGTAACAGAGAACATCGGCGATGACATCAGAGAACCTCAGTGACAGAAAACCTCAGTGATAACATCAGAGAACCTCAGTAACAGAGAACCTCAGTGATGACAACAGAAAACCTCAATGCTGACAACAGAAAAACTCTGAGTTAGACCAGAGAAGCTCAAACTGCAACAGAGGAGCTAAAGGTATTCTAAATACTTTCTTAAAGAGTCACGGGACTAAATAAACAAGTGGACTGCAGAATAATTCAGAATCAACCCATACTCCTATATACAAGTGGAACTACAGAATACTTCAGAGTCAACACATACTCCTATATACAAGTGGACTGAAAGATGTTTTGCTTTACAGAGTCAACCCATACGATCACATACAACTGGAAGCATGGACTCAAACAAGAAAACAAAACTAGCAACACAGGCTACTCAAAACAAGACAAAAGGAGGACATACTGAAGATAAAAGATCAAGTGGATGTTTCAACGATCAAGATTGAATCTCCTCACCCAACGGGAGATATTCAACAAACTCAAAGTCTATAAATAAATCAAGGAATGTGACGAAGAAGATTCAGCGAGCTTAAGTGCAATGCAAACAAAGCAATCATACTCAGAATATCCTGCAAAAGATAAAGTGTTAATTCATCACTTTACTCTTGGCTCGTTCACATTTCTTTAAGCTCTTAGACTAGTTCATAATGAAAGATTCATACTAGAGCTTAGAATAGTTGGTGAAAAGTTGTAACACCTTTGGAAAGAATTTGTGCTGCAAATCCAAAGAGTGGGTAGAATAGGACATGAGTAACATTTGAATCAGATTGATTCATTAGTGAAAAACCTAGAGGCAAGAATAACTTGGAGTGGTGTGTACTCCTAATGAAAACTTGATAGTTTATGCCTGTGATCAAGGGTAAACTAGTCACTAAGTGTATTGGTTAAATAGTTTAGTGGAAATCCATCTATAGAGTGGGACTGGATGTAGGAGGATTACACCACCTCCGAACCAGGATACATCTGTGAGTCATTACATTTAAAGCCACTAAACCATCAAACAAAAAGCCTTAGAAAATATCCAGAAAATAGTTCCTACTCAAAAGTCAATCCTTACCAAACTTCTAGTGTGTTTGTCCAAAAAGATAAAAACTTCCGCTGCCAATCCTAAACCTCTCAAAAGGTTCCAAGGATTATACTTATTCAGAGGGGAGTGAACACCTAATTCGAAAAGACTTAAAAGTCTATTCACCCCCCCCCCTCTAGACTTTTATCAAGGACCATCAGACTGATTGGCAGTGGTAAACGTTATTGCATTTTTAGTGCTTGCTTTCTTATGTGAACCTACTCATGTGTAACACCCCCCTTACCTTCATTACTACAATCATGCATAAATTTAAACTTAGGATTACATGATTTAAGGAATGAGAGTTGTATGCAATGAAAGCATTTTTACAGTTCTTGACCAAAGTAGAAAAAATTCTTGTTGGGCATTTATCCTTTAGACATTGAATTGATCTGAAGAGGCCTAGATCTAGTATCTTCATATCTAGTCTATTTGGTGGTTGATTAACTACCAAATATTTTGTAGTATCTTCATATTGGACATCTATTATTTTGTCATACAGTGTATGGTCTCTTGAATGTATATTTTGTGATGTATTCCCAAATTTCAACAGTCGAATATTCTAACAATAATAGAAAGAATTTAAATAGTATAAGAGAAATTCAACATCAACATATACCGTGTATTCATAATGATGATTCGGTGAAGAACAATACACACAGTACTCGAACAGCTAGAGAGAGAATTTCTAATCTATGTGCTCTACCAGAATAATATGCAGAATAGATTGTGTAAAGACTTAGAATTCTAGAGAGAGAGCTTCGAGAATGATATGGCTATTCTAATTGTGAAACCCTCAAGTATGTTCGGTCCATTCCCCTTCTATTTATAGAGGGATGGCCGAACATCCTTGTTACATTAGGATGGGCTGAATGATCTCTGATTAAATGGCCTTGATTAATTACTTAGTCCACTAATTAAATCCTAATTAAACAAAGATAAATCTAATTAAATTGAACACAATAAAATATATTCTAACAATCTCCCCCTTTGTGTTCAATTTGCAATGAAACGCGGTTTATCATTGTCTTGATCTTCAGAGGATATCAGCTTCTTTTGTCTTTTTAGAAAGGCTTCATGAAGAACTCCTTGTAATATCCCCTTTATTGTCTTCTTGGTAATTTGATCTTTGATGTCGGGGGGTTTAAGGATCTTCAAAATCTTGGAATAGATTGTGTAGAGACTTAGAATTCTAGAGAGAGAGCTTCGAGAATGATATGACTATTCTAATTGTGAAACCCTCAAGTATGTTCGGTCCATTCCCTTTCTATTTATAGAGGGATGGCCGAATATCCTTGTTACATTAGGATGGGCCAAATGATCTCTAATTAAATGGCCTTAATTAATTACTTAGCCCACTATTGGGAATATTTTATGGTGTTCAATCTAGTTAGTTATCTTTGTATTTGTGTAGTTATTAATTAAACGTGTTATATGGGCCACAAATGTGTATCAGCCCGTGGGCTTCCTTGTAACCCGTAAGTTAGCAACCTTCTCCTATAAAAGGAGGCTAACTTACGGGAACCCTAACTGATTGAGAGAGGCTTAGAGACGCAGAGGCGAGATAGAGAGAGATTAGGGTTGCCACTGCTCTCCTTCTCCAGGGAGAGCAGCGGCCGGTTTTCATACGGTATACCAGATTCGCGTTTAATCTTCGACATATCTTTCTATCTGCCTCTTTATCATTGTTATGGTTGTATGATTGTTAGTATTCTGGGATTAACATTTGGTATCAGAGCCGAGGCGTGAAATAGGTTGGATCTATCTGCGATTTTTGGATCTAACGAAGAACTGCTCTGTTTTTTTCTTCTGTTTTTCTATATGTAGAGATTTGCTCCTGTAATCTCGTTTGTGATCGAAATTTTGTAAAAATCATACTGTTGGACTCGCCTTTCAAAACCGATCCAGCAGCATACCTCTTTTTTCGTTTTCTGCAATTTTTATATTTCGAAGATCTCTACATTGAGATCTCGAAATCCTTATTTTTCACTGCTGCAGAAACGTTTTTGACTTGAAACTGATACAGGAGAATCTCGACCTTCAGTGCTTTTCAGAACAGCTTTCAGATTTTCGAAAATCGAAGTTTTCATTTTGCAGGAACTCGACATTTAGGGACTCGATTTCCTCATCTCGACTTTTGAAATCTCGAGTTTTGACATCTCGAGTTTTGACATCACGAGTTTTGACATCTCGAGTTTTGAAACCTCGAGTTTTGAAATCTCGAGTTTTGAAACCTCGAGTTTTGGAATTTCGAGTTTTGGGATTTCGACATTTGGAATCTCGGTGTTTTGGATCTCGACATTCTCAAGATTTCGAGATTTTCAAAATTTCTCGATGTTTTGAATTTTTCAATGTTTGGAGTTTCTTGAATCACTGATTTCTTCTAAACTTGATATCTTTCCTGTTCAGAACACTTCGAAGCTATACATTTTTAGATATCTGAATGAATCTCTGCCTATCAAAGTTTTTAGAAGTTTTCGATGTTCTGATGTTTTTCAACCAACAAGTTTTCGATTTTCTAATGTTTTCAAAACTCCAAAGTTTTCGATGTCCCAAACATTTTGAAATTCTGCAGATTTCGATATTCTGAAGTTTGTTTTGCCGGTGGATTTCACCATTATTCTTCGAGGCAAACTCGAGATTAAGATCTTGAGATTTAAACCTCGAGATTCATATTTCGAGGTATTGCCTTAGAATTTTGTTTAAAATCCACCTGCTCTCGATATTCAACATCGAGAACCTCAACTTCGAAGAAATTCCTCAAAAACTCAAAATTAGAGATTTTCTGCGACACCGCACTGTTTTGGCCATAACTTTTGACTCGGTGATCCAATTTAAGCAAACTTTTTTTTGTTAGAAAGCTAACGAAAAGTTCTTCATAAATTATTAGGGCTATTCAGAACATGTTTCAGATTTTCAAAAATCAATGTTTTCGTTTTGCAGGATCTCGACATTTAGGGGCTCGATTTCCTCTTCTCGACATCTTGATCTCGAGATTTGCATCTCGACATCTTGATCTCGAGATTTGAATCTCGACATCTTGATCTCGATATTTGCATCTCGACATCTTGATCTCGATATTTGAATCTCGAAATCTTGATTTCGAGATTTGCATCTCGACATCTTGATCTCGAGATTCGAATCTCGAAATCAAGATCTCGAGATTTGAATCTCGAAATCATGATCTCGAGATTTGAATCTCGAAATCAAGATCTCGAGATTTGAATCTCGAAATCAAGATCTCGAGATTCGTAATCTCGGGTTTTGGAATTTCGAGTTTAGGAATTTCGAGTTTTGGGATTTCGACATTTGGGATCTCGATGTTTTGGATCTCGACATTCTGAAGATTTCGAGATTTTCAAAATTTCTCGATGTTTTGAATCTTTCAAAGTTTGCAGTTTCTTGGAACTCATAATTCGAATCTTGACATCCTTTGCAGTTCATCGAAGATTTACCTTATAGGATCTCTGAATGATTCCCTGCTTATATATGTTTCAGGAGTTTTTGATGTTCTGATGTTTTTCAAATAGCAAGTTTTCGAGATTATGAGGTTTTCGAAACTCCAAAGTTTTCGATGTTCAAACATTTTGAAATTCTGCAGATTTCGATATTCTGAGGTTTGTTTTGTAGGTGGATTTCGCCATTATTCTTCGAGGCAACGATTAGGATTTCGAAGTATTGCCTTAGAATTTTGTTTAAAATCCACTTGCTCTCGACATTCATCATCGAGAACCTCAACTTCGAAGAAATTCCTCAAAAACTCAAAATTAGAGATTTTCTGCGACACCGCATTGTTTTGGCCATAACTTTTGACTCGGTGATCCGATTTGAGCAAACTTTTTTTTAGAAAGCTAACGAAATGATCTACATTAATTCTAGGGCTATGCCCCAGAACCCTTCCTCACGCGCCCTCACTCGCAGTCCTTGAGGGTCAAAATGTTAGTTTTCCGACAAATATTGTAAATCACCGATGTCCAGGTCAAAACTTAGGCAAATCTGTTCAAATTCTTTCAAAGTCAACCCTGAGGTCAAACATTTTCTAAACCTAACTGTAAAGGTCCGAAAGTCATAGATAATTCAATCAACCTCTCGTCAACGGTCATCTTACAACAATCAATAATCAACTGCTGAAGCCTCCCCTGACTCATCAACATTATGTGATCATCAATATGCTGAAATTCTACATGGTGAGCTCAGGGAAACCGTCATGTGTGGTACATGTTTAGATTGCTCCACACACATGGCGGGTATGACAAGCTGTGAGCAATCAAACCTTGCACATTCTGAGTGGGAGTTTAAGTTTTCTCCTCCTGGCGCCTTACACAGACAAAGCAAGGAATCTCTCAACGGATGCAACATTCTAGGGGGAGTGTTCAATGTTATCCTCTCCGGTGCCTAACAATGACAAAGCATACCGAGTGCTCCAGTTGAGGGGGAGTACAGAGAGAAAATGAAGAAAGTAATGAGAGAACATGTCCCTATGGCTTTGTAAACCCAACTAAGCCTACACAACTAAACCCAAAGAATATTCATTCTAGAGGCGTCACCGGACTTCATCCAAGCTGATCAAGAGCAACTTCTGGAAGGCAAGGACTACATGCAAGATACTGAAGGTCCCTCAACCCCCGGCATCAAAGATCAAATTGTCAAGAAGACATCAAAGGGGAGATTGCAAGGATTTCTTCAGATAGCCTTCCTCAGAAGTCAAGTTCAAAGACAAAGGAAGCTCAATAACAACAAAGACAAAGTGGTCTGCGCTGCAAAAAGGAATAAAGTATATTGACAATTTGAAGAAATCCTTGCAATCTCCCCTTTGATGTCTTCTTGACAATATGGTCTTTGATGAACACCATATGTTCCAACAATGAAGCAAAATAGTTCAACAATAGTTCATATAATATAAAAACGCACAATTTCAATAAAAACAAAATTACAGGGGTTGTTTGAAAAAGAAGAAAAACAGTCCAAGAAAGAATTTGGAAAATAACTATATCATTATTTAAATCGGGAAACAAGAAAATCAGAATCTTGAACTAATTAACAAAACAGAGAGTAAAAGTTTTGGATTTAAACAAAAAAACATCATTGAGTCATTTCAACAAACATGTTATGAGCATAAATGTGAAATAGAAAAATTGAACTAAAATTTCAATAACTAACACTACCTTTTCTTACAATAATACAAAGTACTCAAGAATTAAGTGTTATACCATACCTAATATACAAAAATCAGAAATTTTAAGTAAACAAAACCCTAAAATACAAGTAGAAAAATCGAAATAGATTATTACCTCAATATTAAGGCCTGGTATTAGAGCTTCTTGTTGGAGCAGCGAATCGACCGTCTCATCCTCACCGTCGCATTGATTCCAGTTGCAACCACGCCGTTGGTGTTGGTGAAACGACTGAGTGCTGGCACAAGAATAAATAAAAGAAGAATGAGGAGGAAAGGGAATGGAAATTAACAAGAAGAAAAGGAGAAAGGGGAGGCTGGGAGAAACCAGAGGTAGTCTCGAGGTAGTCAGTGACAGAAACCAATGTATTCTGATCATAACAGAATAGATCGAAAAAATCTGATTGCAACAGAAAGTCTCGAGGTATTCTGTTAGGATCAGAGAACCTCAGCAATGACATCAGAGAATGCCAGTGACAGAGAACCTCAGTGACAGAGAACCTCAGTAACAGAGAACATCGGCGATGACATCAGAGAACCTCAGTGACAGAAAACCTCAGTGATAACATCAGAGAACCTCAGTAACAGAGAACCTCAGTGATGACAACAGAAAACCTCAATGCTGACAACAGAAAAACTCTGAGTTAGACCAGAGAAGCTCAAACTGCAACAGAGGAGCTAAAGGTATTCTAAATACTTTCTTAAAGAGTCACGGGACTAAATAAACAAGTGGACTGCAGAATAATTCAGAATCAACCCATACTCCTATATACAAGTGGAACTACAGAATACTTCAGAGTCAACACATACTCCTATATACAAGTGGACTGAAAGATGTTTTGCTTTACAGAGTCAACCCATACGATCACATACAACTGGAAGCATGGACTCAAACAAGAAAACAAAACTAGCAACACAGGCTACTCAAAACAAGACAAAAGGAGGACATACTGAAGATAAAAGATCAAGTGGATGTTTCAACGATCAAGATTGAATCTCCTCACCCAACGGGAGATATTCAACAAACTCAAAGTCTATAAATAAATCAAGGAATGTGACGAAGAAGATTCAGCGAGCTTAAGTGCAATGCAAACAAAGCAATCATACTCAGAATATCCTGCAAAAGATAAAGTGTTAATTCATCACTTTACTCTTGGCTCGTTCACATTTCTTTAAGCTCTTAGACTAGTTCATAATGAAAGATTCATACTAGAGCTTAGAATAGTTGGTGAAAAGTTGTAACACCTTTGGAAAGAATTTGTGCTGCAAATCCAAAGAGTGGGTAGAATAGGACATGAGTAACATTTGAATCAGATTGATTCATTAGTGAAAAACCTAGAGGCAAGAATAACTTGGAGTGGTGTGTACTCCTAATGAAAACTTGATAGTTTATGCCTGTGATCAAGGGTAAACTAGTCACTAAGTGTATTGGTTAAATAGTTTAGTGGAAATCCATCTATAGAGTGGGACTGGATGTAGGAGGATTACACCACCTCCGAACCAGGATACATCTGTGAGTCATTACATTTAAAGCCACTAAACCATCAAACAAAAAGCCTTAGAAAATATCCAGAAAATAGTTCCTACTCAAAAGTCAATCCTTACCAAACTTCTAGTGTGTTTGTCCAAAAAGATAAAAACTTCCGCTGCCAATCCTAAACCTCTCAAAAGGTTCCAAGGATTATACTTATTCAGAGGGGAGTGAACACCTAATTCGAAAAGACTTAAAAGTCTATTCACCCCCCCCCCCCCCCCTCTAGACTTTTATCAAGGACCATCAGACTGATTGGCAGTGGTAAACGTTATTGCATTTTTAGTGCTTGCTTTCTTATGTGAACCTACTCATGTGTAACACCCCCCTTACCTTCATTACTACAATCATGCATAAATTTAAACTTAGGATTACATGATTTAAGGAATGAGAGTTGTATGCAATGAAAGCATTTTTACAGTTCTTGACCAAAGTAGAAAAAATTCTTGTTGGGCATTTATCCTTTAGACATTGAATTGATCTGAAGAGGCCTAGATCTAGTATCTTCATATCTAGTCTATTTGGTGGTTGATTAACTACCAAATATTTTGTAGTATCTTCATATTGGACATCTATTATTTTGTCATACAGTGTATGGTCTCTTGAATGTATATTTTGTGATGTATTCCCAAATTTCAACAGTCGAATATTCTAACAATAATAGAAAGAATTTAAATAGTATAAGAGAAATTCAACATCAACATATACCGTGTATTCATAATGATGATTCGGTGAAGAACAATACACACAGTACTCGAACAGCTAGAGAGAGAATTTCTAATCTATGTGCTCTACCAGAATAATATGCAGAATAGATTGTGTAAAGACTTAGAATTCTAGAGAGAGAGCTTCGAGAATGATATGGCTATTCTAATTGTGAAACCCTCAAGTATGTTCGGTCCATTCCCCTTCTATTTATAGAGGGATGGCCGAACATCCTTGTTACATTAGGATGGGCTGAATGATCTCTGATTAAATGGCCTTGATTAATTACTTAGTCCACTAATTAAATCCTAATTAAACAAAGATAAATCTAATTAAATTGAACACAATAAAATATATTCTAACAATCTCCCCCTTTGTGTTCAATTTGCAATGAAACGCGGTTTATCATTGTCTTGATCTTCAGAGGATATCAGCTTCTTTTGTCTTTTTAGAAAGGCTTCATGAAGAACTCCTTGTAATATCCCCTTTATTGTCTTCTTGGTAATTTGATCTTTGATGTCGGGGGGTTTAAGGATCTTCAAAATCTTGGAATAGATTGTGTAGAGACTTAGAATTCTAGAGAGAGAGCTTCGAGAATGATATGACTATTCTAATTGTGAAACCCTCAAGTATGTTCGGTCCATTCCCCTTCTATTTATAGAGGGATGGCCGAATATCCTTGTTACATTAGGATGGGCCAAATGATCTCTAATTAAATGGCCTTAATTAATTACTTAGCCCACTATTGGGAATATTTTATGGTGTTCAATCTAGTTAGTTATCTTTGTATTTGTGTAGTTATTAATTAAACGTGTTATATGGGCCACAAATGTGTATCAGCCCGTGGGCTTCCTTGTAACCCGTAAGTTAGCAACCTTCTCCTATAAAAGGAGGCTAACTTACGGGAACCCTAACTGATTGAGAGAGGCTTAGAGACGCAGAGGCGAGATAGAGAGAGATTAGGGTTGCCACTGCTCTCCTTCTCCAGGGAGAGCAGCGGCCGGTTTTCATACGGTATACCAGATTCGCGTTTAATCTTCGACATATCTTTCTATCTGCCTCTTTATCATTGTTATGGTTGTATGATTGTTAGTATTCTGGGATTAACATTTGGTATCAGAGCCGAGGCGTGAAATAGGTTGGATCTATCTGCGATTTTTGGATCTAACGAAGAACTGCTCTGTTTTTTTCTTCTGTTTTTCTATATGTAGAGATTTGCTCCTGTAATCTCGTTTGTGATCGAAATTTTGTAAAAATCATACTGTTGGACTCGCCTTTCAAAACCGATCCAGCAGCATACCTCTTTTTTCGTTTTCTGCAATTTTTATATTTCGAAGATCTCTACATTGAGATCTCGAAATCCTTATTTTTCACTGCTGCAGAAACGTTTTTGACTTGAAACTGATACAGGAGAATCTCGACCTTCAGTGCTTTTCAGAACAGCTTTCAGATTTTCGAAAATCGAAGTTTTCATTTTGCAGGAACTCGACATTTAGGGACTCGATTTCCTCATCTCGACTTTTGAAATCTCGAGTTTTGACATCTCGAGTTTTGACATCTCGAGTTTTGACATCTCGAGTTTTGAAACCTCGAGTTTTGAAATCTCAAGTTTTGAAACCTCGAGTTTTGGAATTTCGAGTTTTGGGATTTCGACATTTGGAATCTCGGTGTTTTGGATCTCGACATTCTCAAGATTTCGAGATTTTCAAAATTTCTCGATGTTTTGAATTTTTCAATGTTTGGAGTTTCTTGAATCACTGATTTCTTCTAAACTTGATATCTTTCCTGTTCAGAACACTTCGAAGCTATACATTTTTAGATATCTGAATGAATCTCTGCCTATCAAAGTTTTTAGAAGTTTTCGATGTTCTGATGTTTTTCAACCAACAAGTTTTCGATTTTCTAATGTTTTCAAAACTCCAAAGTTTTCGATGTCCCAAACATTTTGAAATTCTGCAGATTTCGATATTCTGAAGTTTGTTTTGCCGGTGGATTTCACCATTATTCTTCGAGGCAAACTCGAGATTAAGATCTTGAGATTTAAACCTCGAGATTCATATTTCGAGGTATTGCCTTAGAATTTTGTTTAAAATCCACCTGCTCTCGATATTCAACATCGAGAACCTCAACTTCGAAGAAATTCCTCAAAAACTCAAAATTAGAGATTTTCTGCGACACCGCACTGTTTTGGCCATAACTTTTGACTCGGTGATCCAATTTAAGCAAACTTTTTTTTGTTAGAAAGCTAACGAAAAGTTCTTCATAAATTATTAGGGCTATTCAGAACATGTTTCAGATTTTCAAAAATCAATGTTTTCGTTTTGCAGGATCTCGACATTTAGGGGCTCGATTTCCTCTTCTCGACATCTTGATCTCGAGATTTGCATCTCGACATCTTGATCTCGAGATTTGAATCTCGACATCTTGATCTCGATATTTGCATCTCGACATCTTGATCTCGATATTTGAATCTCGAAATCTTGATTTCGAGATTTGCATCTCGACATCTTGATCTCGAGATTCGAATCTCGAAATCAAGATCTCGAGATTTGAATCTCGAAATCATGATCTCGAGATTTGAATCTCGAAATCAAGATCTCGAGATTTGAATCTCGAAATCAAGATCTCGAGATTCGTAATCTCGGGTTTTGGAATTTCGAGTTTAGGAATTTCGAGTTTTGGGATTTCGACATTTGGGATCTCGATGTTTTGGATCTCGACATTCTGAAGATTTCGAGATTTTCAAAATTTCTCGATGTTTTGAATCTTTCAAAGTTTGCAGTTTCTTGGAACTCATAATTCGAATCTTGACATCCTTTGCAGTTCATCGAAGATTTACCTTATAGGATCTCTGAATGATTCCCTGCTTATATATGTTTCAGGAGTTTTTGATGTTCTGATGTTTTTCAAATAGCAAGTTTTCGAGATTATGAGGTTTTCGAAACTCCAAAGTTTTCGATGTTCAAACATTTTGAAATTCTGCAGATTTCGATATTCTGAGGTTTGTTTTGTAGGTGGATTTCGCCATTATTCTTCGAGGCAACGATTAGGATTTCGAAGTATTGCCTTAGAATTTTGTTTAAAATCCACTTGCTCTCGACATTCATCATCGAGAACCTCAACTTCGAAGAAATTCCTCAAAAACTCAAAATTAGAGATTTTCTGCGACACCGCATTGTTTTGGCCATAACTTTTGACTCGGTGATCCGATTTGAGCAAACTTTTTTTTAGAAAGCTAACGAAATGATCTACATTAATTCTAGGGCTATGCCCCAGAACCCTTCCTCACGCGCCCTCACTCGCAGTCCTTGAGGGTCAAAATGTTAGTTTTCCGACAAATATTGTAAATCACCGATGTCCAGGTCAAAACTTAGGCAAATCTGTTCAAATTCTTTCAAAGTCAACCCTGAGGTCAAACATTTTCTAAACCTAACTGTAAAGGTCCGAAAGTCATAGATAATTCAATCAACCTCTCGTCAACGGTCATCTTACAACAATCAATAATCAACTGCTGAAGCCTCCCCTGACTCATCAACATTATGTGATCATCAATATGCTGAAATTCTACATGGTGAGCTCAGGGAAACCGTCATGTGTGGTACATGTTTAGATTGCTCCACACACATGGCGGGTATGACAAGCTGTGAGCAATCAAACCTTGCACATTCTGAGTGGGAGTTTAAGTTTTCTCCTCCTGGCGCCTTACACAGACAAAGCAAGGAATCTCTCAACGGATGCAACATTCTAGGGGGAGTGTTCAATGTTATCCTCTCCGGTGCCTAACAATGACAAAGCATACCGAGTGCTCCAGTTGAGGGGGAGTACAGAGAGAAAATGAAGAAAGTAATGAGAGAACATGTCCCTATGGCTTTGTAAACCCAACTAAGCCTACACAACTAAACCCAAAGAATATTCATTCTAGAGGCGTCACCGGACTTCATCCAAGCTGATCAAGAGCAACTTCTGGAAGGCAAGGACTACATGCAAGATACTGAAGGTCCCTCAACCCCCGGCATCAAAGATCAAATTGTCAAGAAGACATCAAAGGGGAGATTGCAAGGATTTCTTCAGATAGACATCAAAGTGGTCCCTCAACCTTTTTGTTACATACATATATATGGTTCATAGCGTCACAAAAAGGAATAAAGTATATTGTTACAAGAATATAAATCATTTATAACCTAGTAGTATATTGCAAGCATATAATTGATCCAAGTGCACACTCCCTGTAAAAGAAGAAAGAGCTTGTATATATGGCTAGGTTATAATTGTGAATAATATTGTCACGGTAACACCAACATTGGTCCACATTCTTGATCTTCCGCGCTCCATAATCGAAACTCCTTCATTCTGTGATTCACAAATTCATGAAGTTGATGTCAATTCTGATGTCACATTGAAATTTTGAACTAGTGTTTTAATAATGATTTAATATACTACGAGTATAAATTAGTCTATAAACAATGATGTATGTGTATGATGCTACCATAGATCACAACCATGATCCAAGACTGATTAAAGCAAAGTTGATCGACGGGATCAGCCCATTAATCGGGATTAATAATAAATAATAGCCGTTGGGCCTGATTAGGAATCCAATCCACGAAAAGAACCTACAACCACGCCAGGCCAGACAACAGACCTCGAGCCTAGGTGGAGTTCTAGCGATGTCGGACTCTTCTTAGGGCTTATGTGGCAGACTATTATTCGTGCATAGATATCTGGCAGCGGCAGGAAATAACGGAAGGAATGTGGACCTGAGGGAAACAATGATTGCACAACGTTCGAGACGTTACAAGACTCTATTCTAATTAATTGCACTAAATGTATCCGTTTCCTCTTAGAATACTAGAACTAAAGGTCTATAAATACTTCGTGTACACATCCTAACTACCAAGGATCCGAATTCCAAAATAATAATAATATTGTCTTACGTTGCCTAAATTTCATCTGCTCTCGTAGTTGTAATATCGTGCTTCTCATACCTGTCCGTGGTGAAGAGGTTAAAGAGGCATTTTTCTTAGGGATGTCAAAAAAACCCGACCCGCAATGACCCGCCCTGGCCCGAGACATTTGGGGCGGGTCCGCCCCACCCCGTCTTGCAAATGGGGCGGGTCCGCCCCGCCCTGCCTATACAATGGGGCGGGTCCGGGTATTAGAATTGACCCGTGCCGCCCTGACCCGCCCCGACCCGACCCGCTGAATATATAAGTATACATACTTTTTCTTAAATTATAGTACTACAAATATACTTCAACATACATATGTGTCATTTCATTTTCATTTTCATTTACCCCAGTGCCGCAAAGGCTCTCACCTACGGTGGGGTAAGGGGGGTCGGATGTACACAGTCTTACCCCTGTACTAAAGCACAGAGAGACTGTTTCCGGATGACCCATAGTGAAAATCCCGTCCAAAATTGCATGGACTGACAGCTGCTTCATAACAAAGAAGCGCAGACAGTTTAGTGAGTCATTTTGCTTTATTCCATCATAATCTCAAGCCAAAAAATAATGAATCTTTGGCTCCATTGCAAATATTTATGATACGGATATGAATACATGGGACATTTACATGGTGTTGCCATTGCTCGAGGGGCACCTATGATTTCTCACTTATTTTTTGGAGACGACGGCCTGTTATTTTTTAGAGCCACGCATGACGAAGCTTCATTGATCAAGGAAGCATTATCAGATTACAAGAGGGCCTCAGGACAGGTAATCAATTTTAATAAATCTAAGGTATTTTTTAGTACTAATGCGGCGGCCAGTTGTCGGGAGGGGCTTGTTGATTAGCTTGGTGTGGGGCTGGCGGGGGACTACGAAAAATATTTGGGTTAGCCGACTTTAGTGGGAAGGAGTAAAAAATAGATCTTGGGTTATCTTCGTTAGAGGGTGATCAATCGAATTAATAATTGGAAAAATAATTTTTTATCCAAGACTGGTAGGGAGGTTCTTTTAAAGGTTCTTATACAGATAATGCCGACTTACGCTATGAATGTCTTTTTGCTGCCTATTGAGTTGTGCTGTGAGATTGAAATAATTATGAATGGCTACTGGTGGAAAGGAAAATGAGGTAAAGGAATTCGTTGGAAAGAATGGAACTCCCTTTGTAAGCCGAAATCAGCTGGGGGCATGGGATTTAGAAGACTTCGGGAGTTTAATTTGACTATGCTATCTAACCAAGCTTGGAGGATTTTTACATGTCATGATTCTCTTGTGGGAAGGGTTTTTATGGCCAGGTATTATTCGAAGAGCACTTTTCTAAAGGCTAAAATAGGAAATAATCCTTCTTTTATTTGGCGGAGTTTATTTTCAAACTCAAGAGATTATTCGAGAAGGTTATCACTGAAGGGTGGAAAATGGACACTCTATCAATATTTGGAAGGAACCTTGACTTCCGGACAAGGGGAATCCAAGAGTGATTCGATGGCAGATGAAGGACTACACGAGGCGGTGGTGGCAAACCTCTTTGTCACAGATAAAAAAGAATGGGATCATCACATCATAAATGATATTTTTGAAGAAAGAGATGCTTCCTTGATCAAAAGCTTGCATCATAAATGATATTTTTGAAGAAAGACATATCCTAGACTTGTTATGATGGAGATGGGAGGAAATTGGCCATTTTTCGGTTAAAAGTTGCTATCAGCGTTTGGTGGGAGAGATGGGGGGTTTGGAAAAATTGGATTGGACAGCCATGTGGTCATGTGAGCTTCCTCCTAAAATTAAAATGTTTTTTTTGGCAGGTTTGTAGCGGATGCTGGGAAGCTTTGTCGTGGAAGTGGACTGAGGGGACTGTTTTGCCATTTGTGGAGCAAATAAATCTGAAATTCCGGAGTAGGAGAAAGGAGAGTCTGGAGAAGCTAGTGTGGGGCTGTTGGGCTCTCTGGTGTGAGCGGAATCACCGCGTCTGGAGAAGCATGTTTTGCCATAGATCACAATCCATGCTTGAGGGATGGTCTCAAGCACATGCAGTAAGAAGAGTTAAGGTGCAGAGGGAGCTATTTGCGGCTTCTTCGTGGTGCAGACCTGCAGCGGGAAAAAATGAAACTTAATGTTGATGCAGCGGTGCGAACGAATGGTTGCGGGCTAGGCTGGTCTGTTCGAGATGATAGGGGCAGGTTCGTTGCGGGGGCTGCTCTTCCATGGTCCGGAAGCTTATCACCGTTAAGTGCTGAACTTGTGGGAGTTCGTGAAGCTCTAAGTTGGGTCAAGGATAACGGCTGGCTCGAGATAGAGGCCGAGTCTGATGCATCCCGAGCTATTTCAGAGATATTACATGGATCGAATTATTCGTCAGTTGGATTTTTGGGTGATGACATAAGAGATTTGGCGAATTATTTTTCGAGCATTTCTTTTTGTCATTATGGCATTAAGCGGTCAGCGAATAAGCCAGCTCATACATTAGCTAGTGCTGCTTGTTCTATGTTTGATTTGTGATCTTGGTTTTATTCTCCTCCTGCTTTTATTATATCTGTGTTGAACAATGATTTGATTAATATTAATTAATTTTTCTTTTTGCAAAAAAAAAAACTCTCATAGTTGAATTAAACGTCACCGGCGTATATTAGTTCTATAGTGGGCATAAGACTATGACATCTTAATTGTTTTTTTTTAATAACTAACGTTTTTTTCATTTTACACTTGATCATAATCCTTCTCCTCACCTTAAGGTGGTTTTACATGTCGTGACATACATATTTTAAATTGGACACAAAATAAAAGATGATGATATTTATTCTTTTAGAGACCAAATGTATGAAAAAATAAAGTGAAGCAATTAATAGGCTCTTCCTCCCACTAAAAGTTGCGTGATATACTTTATGATGACAATATTCAAAACTTAGATATTTAAAAGTATTTTCAAAACAAAAATAATAACGATTTGTATATTATCAAAATGTTACTCAAATTAGCATAAATAAAAAGACAAATATAAAAAATCAGATCGAGTAAGATGTAATAATATACATCTTACTCGATCTAATAAATTAGATCTAAAAAATTAGATCGAGTAAGATGTAATAAAAAGACAATGATGACAATAATATACACTACAAAAAAATTACGGGATTGGAACGGAATTTGGCACGGACTTACCGATTTTTCGTGCCAAATAGCTCGTGTCAAAGTATTTTTGGCACGGATTTGGCATTTCCCTGCCAAAATACCTGCCAAAATCTCTGAATCTCTTGGTTTTTTGTAGTGAATCTCCGTAGTAAATATAATTTTGTTTAAAAAGAATTGAAACACAGACAAGTTGCAAGCTCGATCGAGCAATATAATAAAGAAATCCTAAGACAGAGGGTAATTTTTTATTGAGTTTGATTTGAAAGAATTGAATTTGAGATCCAAATGAACTCAAAATTCATGTTTGCTATGTTAGCAAGCTAGTCACCCATTGACGTGACGCACACGCAACGCAGGGGCAGCTATATGGGGAGTTGGCCAAGGCAAATGTCTTGGGCCTCATATTTTAGTGGGGCTTCAAAAAAATTATTTATAGTATAAATTATCTATTTTAATTTTAGTAGTTTGGAAGCAAAGATATCATGTTTTTGATATATTGGTAGCCTAAAGATAGATAAAGTGATTTTAGCTCTAATTAAATGGTAGGCTCGTAGCAACTACTCCAACTAGCCACCATATTAATGAATTATTGAAGTAATGTTTAATTAGTTTGATGGTCGTAGTTATTTAGTTATTTTATATTTTCACTGATTATTACGGAGTATTATATTTATGAACTTTAGCTTTTTGTTGACTGTTATATTTTTTATATTTTTGTAAGTACGTTACTAGGGAAAATTTAGACGTACTACTATGGTCTCATATCAAATTTAGTAAAGTTTATGTGACTTTAAATTAATCTTACTTTATTCTTACTTTATCATCAATTCAATATCAAAATTTTTTTGGGAATAAGGCTTGGATGTTGTTGTTGTTGTTGATGGCTATTTTGCCATAAAAGAGTTAACTATATTATAAAATTAAAATGAGAATGAGAACTTTTTAAATGAAACTTTCAAAAGAGACAAATGATAATCTTTACTTGGGGCGGAGGAAGTGTAAATTTTGGTCCATTTTGTGTATGTTTACATTTAAATTTTGATGTTCACTACTCTTTGAATGTGCTTTTTTTCTTTTAGTGTATTTTTATTCAATTTATCTTTTTTTGTCTTTTGTGTTGCAAAAATCACATTAATATAACATGTCAATATCAAGTGTTTTTCGCCTGGAGTCTCCGGATTTCTAAAGACGCCTCTGACGCAACGATCCACATGGGCGTCATGCCATCGCTAAATGATTGACTAGGCTTACACATGTGTGTCATGTCAGCAAAGTCACTGCAAACTGAGCTGACACATGTGTGTCACGTCAGCATGTGGACACGCTGACATGGTGGGTAATCTGCTAATGGACTCAATTGAATAACATTTTTACAAAGTTCAAGAATTTAATTAATTTTTTCAAAAGTGCGAGGACTTAATTGACGTTTTTGTAATAATACAAGCACCAAATTGAAAAAACAATTAAAAAAAATAGATAACTCTTATTTTGACCATAAAATACACGTAGTACTATCGTATATAATTGCAAAAACAAAATTTCCAATTCAAAGAAGTAATCAAATAAAAACAAGATTTTTAATAGGCTAAAGGGTCAAATAGGTACATGAACTAACTTAAAGTGTTCAATTAGCCCCTTATATAGGAGATTCTACTCGGCCATCGCAAATTGGGGCGGTTCCCGGTGGATTTTTTTGATGAAATTGTTTGAGCATCTTCTTCATTAAGTCTAGTTTACCCATACCAAATTTCAGCTAAAAATTCAACCGGGAAGGCAGTCAAATAATGTTTTGAAGATAATTGCGCAGTTAAACAACGCAGTAGATTTCGGAAAATCATTTCACTGACTTCCCGATTTAATTTTTAGCTGAAATTTGATATGGGTAAACTAGACTTAATGAAGAAAAATGCTCAAAATATTTCATCAAAAAAATCCATCGGGAACCGCTCCAATTGGCGACGGCCGTATAGAACCTCTTAAATAAGAGACTAATTGAACATTTTAAGTCAGTTCATGTACCTATTTGATCCTTTAACCTTTTTAATAATATGAATTCCTAAAAATATGAGTAAAAACATAATCTAATTGCAAAATATATAGCACCGTCATGTTTTTGTTCTTAAAATAAAAGTAATTTCTATCAAATTTTAATAGTACTAAATTTTAAACATGATAATATTTTTCAAATTTATCATTAATAACTCATATTTAGATAATTAATAGAAAATATGATTGTCTTATTTTCAATTTCAAAATTTTTTACTCATATTTCGGTATTTTCTAAATATTAATGTTAATATGTTATGTTACCAAATCAGAAGCGGGGGATGGAGCTGGGGTTACATCGGCGGAATCTTCCACCGCCGGTGGTGGTGGGCTCTTCACAACCGGTGCTGGTGGTGGAGCGTGATGTCGCTTGTGCTTATGCTTCCACTTCTTTCTCTTGTGCTTTGCATGAGCCGGCGCAGGTGCCGGAGCTGATTTTGGTGTCCCAGCAGGCGGCAGAGCAACCGGCGCCGGTGCAGGAGCCAGTAATGGCTTGGGCGGTGGCACCGCCGGCGCAGGTGCAGGCGGCTTGGTTACTCGGGGTGGGGCCCGCGGTTTCTTTGTCGGCGCCGGTGCCGGTGGAAGGGATTTTTTCGTGGGGGGCAGAGCAGGGGATACTGCCGGCGGCAATGCAATTGGTACTTGCGGTTGTGGTGCCAATGCAGGTGGCTTTGACGGCGCCGTAACTGCAACATGTGGGGCCGCCGCCGGTGGTAGTTGTGGTGTTGAAATTTTAGGCTTCGGTGAAGAAACTGGAGTTGCGGCTGTTGGCGGGTGGGTTGTAGGCAGAGGGGTGGTGGCTGGACGTGGAGTGGTGGTCGGCGGCGTGGCGGCGGTAGGGGTGGTGGGTGAAACCGCCGGTGATTGTGCATTGGCAAAGGCGGTGGCTAACCACCACAAGCAAAAGCAAATTGAAGATGTTTGGATCCACATTTTGGAGGGAGATAGTTTTTGGGGTGAGCTGGAAATTATTCTTGAAGATATTTATAATGGATACTGAGATTAATTTGAGAGTTTCCGGAAGTCAAGAATTTGTCATGCGTGGGGATCAAAAGAACTTTTATACTCCGTAGTCCGTAAAGATATTTTATTTCTTTTTCCTGTAAGATAAAATTAAGCATGCATAAGAAATTAGGAAGTACTACTTGGGGTGGGTAAAAGACCAGATCCCGTTGGTCCGTTCCGGAACGTTCCGGTTCCGTTCCGAAATTGTCCCGTTTAATTCGGGACAAACTATTTTTGTCCCGTTCCGATCCCGAATCGTTTCAAAACAAAACGGGATCGGGACAAATAAAATATGTCTCGTTCCGTCCCGTTGTTCCGAATTCAAAATTGTATATAGTTGTGGGTTAGTGAGTCTACCATCAATTCAAATACTAATGAATATTAATTAGGTATTAGTTATCTAATATATATAACACGTAAATGAGTCTAAATTATATCAAGTATGTAATAGTGCAATAAGTAGAATTAATTATTAGTTAGTTTCCTTATTGTACTTGGATACTTATTTCATATAAATATACTCTCAGGGCTACCAGTCTGGTCAAGCCTGTTTATTATTCTCACATGGTATCAAGAGCCTAGGTTTTTAACCTAAATTTTTTTCCTTCTCTATGGCCGCCGAAAACCCCACCACCGTGCCACTCACGGTGGCAGCATCGCACAGCACCGCCGCACCACCTCTCACAGCGGCGGTTTCCTCCGTAACGATGCCGGCCGCCTTTTCCACATCCTCTGCACCGGCTTCTTTAAGTTTTGGCTCAACCTCCGCAGTTTTGCAGCCTTCCTTCGTAGCGCCATTCCCGATGAGCAGCTCGTCCCTAGATCTGAATACATGGGTGTCGCCGGTTTTTTACTGGTCTTCTCCAGTCCGTGGCAGTCGCACGCCAGGTCCGACGTCGATTCCAGCATCGCCTTCACACCTACAATTTTGCGGCCCCACTTTTGTCGGTGCGCAGGGAGTCGCGCCGCTAGCATCTGCTCCAGTGCACCGTCGTCCAGCAGCGGCTCCGGTCTCCTCTTTGGAGGCTATTGCACAAGCTATGGGTTTTTCGACTTCCAATGTTACTCATATTGTCACCACAAAGCTTGATGCGGTTGAAGATTATCTTCTTTGGTGCACACAATTTGAGTCATTCCTAGTCTCACACGGTTTAATGGGTATTCTTGATGGTACGATTACTGCTCCTTCTCAATATATTTTTGATAATCTTCGTCGAGAGATTGTGACAAACGAGTATTATTATTGGTTAAAGCTAGATCAAACAGTTCGTTCTTGATTGTTTGCTACTTTATCTCGTGATATACTTGTTGAGGTTCACACTCTCCAGACCTCTACTACCATCTGGGATCGTCTAGAGTCTTGATGTATGGCTGCTAGTATGGCTCATTCAATAGAATTAAAACAAATGTTCTCCGCTTCCAAAAAGAAAGAAAATCAGTCCATTGAATAATACATGCGTGAAATTCAAAAAATTGCGGATGTCCTAGCCACAATTACTTCCCCGGTGTCTATGAAAGATCTACTTGAACAAACTCTTTTGGGACTTGGTCCGGATTATGAGTCCATCATTACTACCTTGACTACTTTTCCTGAGGGTCTCACTTTTGACAAATTACGGACCAAGCTCATGGAGCAAGAGAACCGCCTACGCTACCTTCGTGCTCAAGAAACCACGCCCCAACCTGCGGCGTTTGCTGCTCAACCCGCGGCTCCGGCTGCAGCACCTGCACCTGGGGGAGATCCTCACGGCGGCAATTTCTTTAATCGCGGCCGAGGTCATCGCGGCGGACAAGGACGGTGGCAGCGAGGGTGCGGCCGAGGATATGGACAGCGGCAGCACCTATACGGTGCTCCAGGTTACGGCCAGCAGGGCGCCTACCATCAGCCACGACCCGGACAGCCTCCAGCCGGGTATTTTCAGCAGGGTTATTACCCGGGTTCGCCAGCTCCTACACGACCAGGTTTAGTTATATGTAATACGGTTTTTTCATCGTTATATACGCATCCTTATTTTGTTGTTGGTACTAACCATGGTTATGCAGGCTCACCGTTAGTAGATGGACAGTTTGGTTCCATTCCCCCGCCGGTTGTTTGTCAAATTTGCTATTCTGCAAGTCATTTTGTAGTGTCTTGTCCGTCCCGTTTTAATCAGCCTACTGCTTCAGCACTTGCTGCACCCATGGGTGACCCAAATGACGTTGTCTGGTTTCCAGACTCTGGTGCTTCTGCGCATATGACCCCTCAGGAAGGTAATTTAGTTAATAAGTCTATTTACTCCAGACCTCTTAATGTTACTGTTGCAAATGACACTGTTTTACCCATTAAAAATATTGGTGATATGTCTATTAATTCTCTTTCAAGGCCTCTCCATTTAAAATCTGTTTACCATGTTCCAAAAGTTAAATATAATTTATTATCCATTCAAAAATTGTGTTCTGACAATAATTGCATGGTTATTTTTGACAATAATTCTGTTTTGCTAAAGGACAAAACCACGGGGGCAATCCTTCTTCAAGCTTCCAGTAGCGGCAGTCTCTATCCCATTCGTTTGTCTTCTTCCCCGGCTCTGGCTCTTGCTTCTAGTGTGGCGAATGGACCTCTGTGGCATCGCCGTCTCGGACACTATGGTAGTAGAGTTTTAGATGGTCTTAGAAAATCTGGTCAAATTTGTAGTGTGTCCTCTTTTAATCATGATTGTTCTTCGTGTCGATTGGGTAAATCTCAGAGATTACCCTTTCAAGATGTTTTTCATTATGCTACTAAACCATTATTTTTAATACATTCAGATGCGTGACAATCTCCAGTTTTAGCTTCTTCTGGTTTCAAGTATTATGTTTCCTTTATTGATGATTTTTCCCGTTTTACTTGGATCTACCCATTGCACCGTAAAAGTGAAGTCTTTGAGCATTTTAAATCATTTAAGTGTCTGGTGGAAAATTTACTTGATCACAAAATTAAAAATTTTCAGAGTGATGGAGGCGTGAATTTGATAATTTAAGTATGTGGTCATTTTTTAGTAATAATGGCATTCTTTTTCGCAAATCATGTCCTGACACACCTCAACAGAATGGTTTAGCTGAACGAAAACATCGTCATATACTTGAATTGGCTAGAACCATGCTTATTGATGCTGGTCTACCAGCCAATTTTTGGATTGAGGCTATTTTGACTGCTACTTATTTTATCAATCGTCTCCCTTCCACTAAATTCACTAGTTTTTCTCCATATCAAAAATTATTTCACCGGACCCCTGATTTCTCTTTTATGCGTGTGTTTGGTTGTGCATGTTATCCAAATTTTCCTGCCACTTCTGCAAATAAGCTATCTCCTCTTTCCGTTCAATGTGTGTTTCTGGGGTATGCGTCTGAATATAAAGGATATCGTTGTTTGGACCCGAAAATTGGTAGAATTTATATTAGTCGCAATGTTAGGTTTCATGAAAATATTTTTTCATACTCCCAGTTAGTGTCCTCTCCTTCCTCAGAGCCTACCACTGTACAGCCGCACCCACTGTCGTTTTCCCGGACTTTTTCTGAGTCTTCAGCTGCTACTGGTTCGCCTATGACCCTTGTGAATTTTTCCTTGGATTTGCGTTTACCATCACCGCCATCAAGCTCACCGCCGGTAGAGCACCCGGCACTCCAGCCGGCTGTTTCTCCAGTGTCCTCCACTACGGACATCCCATCTGGCCGCAGTTCTCCGAGTCCGTGTTCCCCATCTACTGACTCGTCGGATTCGGTGGCCTCGGCCGAGGGGGTGGTGGCAGATGATTTGAGTTCTGGTAATTCCCTATGAAAATATACATCTCATGCAAACATGCTCTAAATCAGGAATTTTTAAACCCAAAACTATTTTTAATCTAAACACTGCGGTTTTGGTTCCTGATCCAACTTGTTTTTCTATGGCTAATAAAGATTAAATGGAGAGCGGCTATGGTTGAAGAATTTAATGCACTAATCACTAATAAAACGTTGGATCTAGTACCGTTTGACTAGCAAAATTTTGGGTGGGTCTAAATGGATTTATAAAACTAAATATCGGTCTGATGGCTCTATTGAACGACATAAAGCACGTCTGGTTAAACCTTTAGTCCTGTTGTTAAACCCACCACTGTACGCATTGTTCTTACATTAGCAGTTTCTTTTAAATGGCCTATTCGTCAGTTAGATGTTAAAAATGCATTTCTTCATGGTCATCTCACAGAAGAGGTTTACATGCGTCAACCACCTGGGTTTGTTCATCCTCAATTTCCTAATCATATTTATCACTTGCGCAAGGCCATTTATGATCTCAAACAGGCTCCCCGGGCATGGTTTCATCGTTTCAGTATTTTTCTTCTCACTCGTGGATTTGTTTGTAGTCGTGCTGATAATTCATTGTTTATTTTTCGTCAGGATACACATATCATCTATTTGCTCCTATATGTGGATGACATTATTATTACTGGCAGTTCCTCTACTCTTATTAGTAATTTTATTTCTCTCCTAAGGAAATATTTTGCTATGAAAGATTTAGGGGATATTCATTTTTTCTTGGGGGTTCAGGCTGTGCGCAATTCTTCAGGTTTATTTTTGTCTCAGGTCAAATATGTATCTGATCTTCTCACCCGTTTTCATCTTCATACACTTAAATTTGTTCGCACGCCATTACCGACTAGAACCAAGGTATCTCTCACTGATGGTGAGTAACTTGCTGATCCTACTGAGTATCGTAGCATGGTAGGTGCATTGCAGTATTTAATTATGACTAGACCTGATATTACGTATGTTGTTCACTTGGTATCTCAATTTATGCATGCTCCCCGTACCTCACATATGTTGGCTGTTAAGAGAATTTTCAGGTACTTACAGGGCACTAAAACCTATGGACTACATCTTCAATTGTCGCCACTCCCACACACGGTTCTGGCCTACTCTGATGCAGATTGAGCTGGTTGTCCTGATAGCAGTCGTTCCACGTCTGGATATGCTGTTTTTCTTGGTCCTAATTTGATTTCCTAGCGGTCGAAGAAACAACCTACTGTCTCCCGCTCATCGACTGAAGCTGAGTATAGAGCCATTGCATACACAGTTCAGGATACATTACACATTCGGTCCATTTT